GACGAGGAAGTAATAAAGATCACATATAAAGGAATGATTTGCGATAGCTAAGGATCGTGAGATGAAAGAAAAGTGAAGGGGCTTTTGTTACTGCATCCAACTGCGTGTAGTAGGACGCCGACAACAAATAAAGAAAAACTAAGTTAGAATCATCTGTGTAGTGATATGTTAGAACATAATGTGCCATTACTTCATTGTATTACGAGATATCTTATCAAGTGTGTTTGATCTTAGCTCATTTAATAGTAAGTTTTTATTTATAACACAATTGGCGAACGAGCATGCGGCTCACCTATTACTAAGTGACTACCGCCGCCCATGATCACCCACAAAATCAAAGGCATTGCAGGTGTGCTGCCGGTCTTTTAAAAAGGAATATGCTCTTTTCTTGAAGGTTATGATGTCGTATCGGTTCGGAAATACTGCTGTGTTGTGTAGTGATGACATGTTTTAGAATACGATCTTAATAAGGATATTATTTTTTAAATGTATGTTTATTTACAACAGCGAAGGCACGAGTCCTTTACAGTAAACTATAGCAACATTGAAAACAACATGTCCGACAACACCATTGTTCGTCGCTACCGCTATCTCCGCCTCCAAGCCCACCTACATCGTTGTCTTCACGAAATCTGCGAGCTGTATCTCACAGTGTCAGGTGAGACGTTGTGACGTAAAGCGCCGTGCTCACCACGAAGAAAACTTCCGAACAAATTTAAAACAGTTGGCGGAAACGATAAATATAGTAAGTTTATGAAATTAATGGTAACTTTTTACAATTATTTACCATACAACAGCGACATACATTCATTTAATTTGTATATTAATGAATCGACTTCATGGACACTCATTGCTATAGTTTCTTTCACATACAGCCACTCTAACCTGCCTTACTTGCTTTAGACTTATAATTTTCATAATCGAAGCATTTGGCGTTCCATTGTTTCTGCCTACCCTAATGGGAGACAGGCGTGACTGATATGTATGTATGTATTTTCATAATTCATTTTCATTCAATTCATAATCCATTATTAGTTGTTTTATAAGAGATTTGGCATGTAAGTTATTTTTTAAGAGCTCTGGATTTTTGTAGTAAATAAATAAAAAAAATTTTACCTTGCTTATATAGAATACAAAGATTAATAACCTAATAAATAGTATAATAATAATAACTGTCTTTATTTAATAATAAATTACATTTAGTTAGATCTACTAGCCATCGAAATAGGCCGAGCCTGTATCTTAGTGGATAGTTGAGTAACTTCCATTAACTTAAATCTTTATAAAACCCGTTACAATATCGAATATAAACACACTCAAATTTGCAATGTTTAAGACACTTTTGGTGCAACATTGTCAAATCTGAGTAGCATTATATTACCTCTCTTATAATTATAGTTTACTCAACCAATATAAAAAATAGTTTTTTTTTTTATTGAATGATAATGGAATGGTAACACCACCCGCGCTATCGGTATACACCGGCGGAGCACCAGTGAAGAATGATAGGTGAGAATGAAGTAGGTCAGTTAGCCCATCGTGACGAATTCAACAAGAATTGTCCTCGATGGTTTCCAGGGGGAACCACGCGGAAGTCGACCTAATAAGGCATATTGCTAGCAATGGGGCTGTCAAACTCCATTGCTAACAATCACTTTCCCTCTGATAAATAGTTTGCCAGTCATCTTAGCAATAAATGTAGGTAAATAATCACAGTTTTGTTGCGAATCAATGAGTGCTTGAACCCAACAAATTTAGGGCAGAGTCAAGTGTATTAGGGCTAATAGTGTACGTGTGCTACACCTGACCTAGCCGCACTCTAAAACCTCTCCAATCGACTATCCACCAAAATGAAGGTGCGCCATCTTCATTTTGGCCAATACGAGATTTTATACTAATTTGATTTATCTTTTCACTACCTGTTATAGTAATTAAATTTTTACTCGATTGGCGAATAATGAAACGTAATGTTTTGAGGTATTTTGGACCATAATACCTCACAGTTTAAAGACGAACGTCTTTAACCAGGGCTTTTTGCCCAATAATGACTTATGGAAACGAAACATGATCCTATACAGTTTCTCGTATGCAAAAGTTTCAAATTACTTAGTGAGCTAAGAAGAGAGACATACTCGAAGTTTCTTTCGAAAATCCGAAATGTAGATGTATATTTTTTTTATACAACTTAGAATGGCAAACAAGCTGACGGCCCACCTGATGGAAAGTGGTAATCGTCGCCTATAGACATGAGCTGGTACCATGGACCATACATCCAATAAATTTAATAAAAACTAAAAAAAAGAATCAAAGTAACGTACATAGCCCGAAGGATAAGCAAGCTAAAGTGGTAATAGGCTGGTCACACAACTCGTAGAACAGATGACCGATGGGGAAGAAAAGTTCTTAAGTGGCGACCTCGTACGGGTAAACGTAGTGTAGGACAACTCCCCACTAGATAGAGTAACAATGCATGGCAGTCTATGGGGGAGGTTTACGTTCAGCTGTTGACAGATAATGGCTAAGGTGATGACTACATGATGAGAAAAAAGTTATTCAAACTAATAATTTTTGTTTTTGTTTTTTATTGATAATTTTGCTATATAAAGATACAAATAAACATTGTTACTGGACTAAGTAATTGTTAATCATTCAGGCAGAGTTTAATTAGACATTGCTCAGATAGGCAGTACTTTAATTTTTTTTTTTTAGTAAGACTGTAGAAACTTGACAACGTCAGTTTGAGTCGTGTTTTTTTATAGCACCACTTTTTTTTAAATTTATATTATATTTTGCATCAAACTACATTTTATTATTTTCATTTTGTCCTTTGACGTCAAAAGTATCCAAATAGCCCGAGGGGATAATTGTATTGTTATGACAGTGCGGCGCGTTCGTTCCGTTGTAGAGTCGTCCCTGAAGCTATCCGTTACATTGTCGGGACTTCTTCGAAAACAGGCGAGGTCCCTTATGGTGGCGAGCAAATAGAGTGAATTGAACGTCAACGACCCCTGTCGAAAAATACATCTATGTTCAATTCGTATAAATTGTATTATGAAGGTAGACAAATTTTTGCAAAAAATTTCTATATGTCTATCAAGGTTCCGGATATGTAGTGAGGCTACCCTAGATGTATGTCGACCAAATAGCTAACGTGTAAAAAAGGGCCAAGTTAAAAGTATTCGTAACCGACGAGCTTGTACGAAGAGATCGATGAATGCGGAGAAGGCGTAAGAGGTCTGTGTGAATCGGGGCTTTTAGCATTCCATTATTTCTGTTTACACCGATCGGAGATAGGCGTGATGTAAATGTATGTATGATCTACCTGATTCATTGAAGTATTTGATAACACTAGTTGAATGCATTACTCATCATTACACCTATCTCAGTTTTACACTTTCTTCTATATTCGGTTTGAAGGGTGGGATATGGCAGTGAATTTACAGGGTATAGAGGAATAACTCCTGAGTCCTTAGGAATGGCTATGCATGGGGGGGTGTCACGGGCGAAACAGTATACTCTGTTATGTCCACGGTACTGCTCCTGTCTATAGGCGACGGTTACCACTTTCCATCAGGTGGGCCGTCAACTTGTTTGCCATTCGAAGTTGTATAAAAAAAAAATCATTAGTTAGTTGATTAGAATTATTTTGTTTAATTCCGCTACCATTAGTATGCGTGCGACTGTTAACACTCGAAGATTACTATTATTATTATCAAAAGTTCTATAACCTTCTACATTAGCCGTAAATCTCCGACCGCCATTCAGTCGACGCACGTATTGCGATACGTATTTAACCTCTAAACGAGGCACACATACTAACGGTATCGGAATTAAACAAAATAATTCTAATCATGTTTCTAGTGATACAGACTTCAACAAAACATCACCTATTTTACTCTGGCAATAATGTATCACAAAGTAAATAAAAACGGAGCCATAAATCGGAAAAAACTAAATCATATATCTAATCTGTGTGATTGTATTGCCAACGCCCGGTATTGGATTTCCTCACTCAGCAGCTTGTTTGCAGCGCTCGCATATCAGTAGCGTTTATATTTAATTCTTTTTTCTTTCATATTCAACTCAGCTGAAAGCGATTATATACAGCGGGTGGGTTTTTTGGCAAGACTGGTAATTAATCATAGGGTCCGCTTGATTGTAAGCAGCTACTACAGACTATAAATGCGTGCAACACACGCATCAGGCCTGCGTTGGGAAGCTCGAGTAATAGTAAGTAGTTAGAAATTTTAACTGTATAAATATAAAAGCAAAATTAAGGTTTTTAAAGACGAATTATATAATTAGTCATTAGTTGGGCTGCAAAATTAAGTAAATTACCTATTTATCTACCTTCACGCTAAGTATTTTGGCTATTTACTTTTGATTTTTTTTTTTTATATTACTAAAGTTTCTAATAATAATATGAGAGGCGATTAGGGGACAATGCACAGCCTACCAGTGTACAAGGGGAAAAACTTGAATTAAAATTTTATACTAAGCCGCTCGGTCATCCTCTTCAATGGAAGGCTCAGTGTAAGAATGAAACCGCTATTCAACTATTTTCTTCAAGTTTTATTGTAAGTGACAATCTCTATTGTATTTTTCGTAATATTTAATATAAATTGTTATTATAATTATGTACGGTAGGAAATTTTTAATTCAATATTATGTCAAAGTTTTGATATTTTATTTTGTCCAATTAATATACTTATATAATATTTATTTGATATTTACATGTAAGTGGGGGTTTACAAAATATATTTTAAAGGTCAATTCTGTTATGTGTTACGTCTATTTTAATACTCATCCAAATTTAACTGAAGGCAATACTCCGAGGTGAAGATTCAGTGAGTAACTAATTGCAATAACACAGTTGACTGGATTCATTATGAATTCTATAACGTACTTATATTTAAGAGTTATAATATAATATAGAAATACATAACTTATTAAAATATTTTATTGAGGAAAAATATATAAGAAAAAAAATAATAACTTACTGTAATCTGTATCTACCGGAAACACAAAAACAACATTCCCCTCGGAATCTTAAACACCACCACTCACTGTTTGATATTTATTCACATTTGCGGACTATGGTCATTTAACACGAGCGTAAACGTATACAAAGTGCGTAACTTTCAATCGCGTAAGGTCTGTGCGTAGCAGTCGTAGACACGGTAACGTCCGGATATGCGAGCAGCACGCGTAGCACTGTCCGCCGCGCAGTCTCCTCGTAGCTCCGTCACACGCGGCGCGTAGCTCGCGGCTGCGGTGCGCGCGCGTAAATTATGATGAACGCGCCAATTTAATTATGACTTAGCGCTTTTTTTTTATAGAAAGAAGTTTCAACAGATCGACCCATAATTATCACAATTAGCCTTTTGTCTAATATTCCGTTTTAAATGAATTTTGTTAAATGAAATCTCATTAATAGATACTTACAAGAATTTATTACGATTAATGTCTAAATTGTAATAATAAATTAGGGGATTTTTTTTATTCAGTGTAATTTGAATAGAGAAATAATAGTCAGAATTAGAATTTTGTCTTATGCGTATTTGGTTTTAAAGGAATTTGATAGAAATGGTTTTTACAGTTATATTTATACAATCTTTCTCAGCTAATGTAAAAAGAGAATATGAAAAGAGAATTTAAAAAAATATTATTTTATTTACACAACATATTAATTGTTGCAGAGATTTTATGGACGTGAATAGTTCAGGATTATTTCATGTGGCGGGTCTATGAAAGTTCAAAGTATGTTCTGTAACGTTTGAAAAATGAAAACTCAAAGGCAATTATGTATCATTATTGAACTATAATGTTGAGACTAATTTGTAAAAAGAAACAGCATTTTCAATGGCAACAAACTTAACATTGATTATTTATTTGTATTTATTCAATTAGCATGTATATACATTCAAAAACTAAGGATTTTTAGTACCACTTAAACCTTGTGTATGCCACTTTACATTTCGTTCTCAAATAGTTAGTACTGGCTATTCTGCTGTTTTAGCAATTAGTAATCTCAAGCAATTAGCTATTCTTAGTTAAAAATGAACTGAAAGCAACGATAGCTGGCGGGATATTTCATAGACACAAAAATTTTAATATTTCAAATTATCTGTGAAAAAAAAACAGAGTTGTGTTCTGCAAAGGTAAACAGTGTTGAAGTAAAAAGAAAGAAATAATTTATTTAGAGACCATATAGAGGAATGTAAATTAATATATTTAAACATACTAAGAAATAATAACAGAGGTAGGCATATTACTTTGACTAGGTCTAATCTATTGAATGAACTAAGTAAAATTGTGTAAGCAGAAATAATAGTGAGAGGTGAATGGGAAAATCGATCAACGACCACTAGAGGGGCGTAAGCACGTGATTGATTCGCGTACGTTCGTCTTGGAAACTGTCGTTTAGCAATACTCTAAAGAGGTTACATTACCTGTAACGTAAACTTACTAGAGGTAGACTTTGTACAAATGTTACCTGTGCGCGTAAGTTTGTTACCCCCATGTTACTGGCGTCACGCAGCTATATTTGTATGGATGATTCACTTTAAAGTCTCCAATATTATGACTAGAGGAATAAAATATTTTCAATTTTATATGTCTATAAAATATTTCGACATCTATCGGTGTTTTTATTCGAATATTTTTTTTTCGTGTCTGGTACATTTTGTACCAGACTTTGTTCAAAAATCTGTCTGCTTGTGTATCTCTGTCCCATTCGTACTTTTACCGTGAAGCAGATGTGTTTTCATGGCGTATTTCATTTTAAAGGGTGGGATATGGCAATGAAATTGCAGGGTACAGAGACATAACACTTTAGTCTTCATGGCAACGCAAGAAGGATATTATGGGCGACACAGCATTATTCTGTTATGTCCATAATATTATTCATGTCTATAGGCGATAGCTGCACAACAAATTAGTCCTCGGGAATTGCAACACACGATGTACTCCTCACGCGTTGCTATTTCTGATTGTAATACCCATGGCGCTCCACGTATATTACAGTCTATCATTTGATGCCTGTGGAACTGTTCAAGTGTATAAATGACTGTTTTCATTTTCCATCAGGCGGCCCATCAGCTTGTTTGCAATTTCAAGTTGCATAAAAAAGGTAACGAGAATTTAAAGAGATAATGAATAGCTGTATAAATTTCCCCTTCACATAATGACGGAGCGAAAACACTGGGTCATCAGGGGAATAATCGGGCTCATTTTGGCATAATTAAAAAACAAAATAAATATAAAAACAGATCCCAAAAAATGATGTTTTTAATAAAGTAATAGTACGTATTTATAAAAAAAAAATCTGAAATTTGTTTTAAGTATGTATCAGATGTTTATTATACTTAGCACAACTTTGTTTGGGTCAGAACTAGATTTTCCAGAATTATTTTTAATATTTACTTAGTAATATCTTCCCATGTGGTCCCGGTATAGAATAGGCCACATTTTTCTATTCTGTGGGCGTCGAAAGAGTCGACTAAGGAACGACGAGGGATGGGCAGCAGTGTCTCTCTTAAAACATCTCTAAAGCCTAACTGCGGTTGTCAATTCGCCTGCTAACGTGGCAGCTATTAACAAACCCTTCCTAGGGGGAGGCTTACGTTCAGCAGTCGACAGTTATTTGATGATAAATAACTAAAATTCGAAATGTTTTTGCATATTTTTATACTCGTATTTTATTTTTAACAGTGCTGCCCATCCCTCGCCCTCTCTTAGTCGTCTTTTACGACACCCACAGGATAGGAAGGAGTGGCCTATTCTAAGCTGGGACCACAAAGTCTAAATTATTTGTACGCCTAAAGAAACTCGAATTAAAATTCGCATATATAATGACCATTATCTTGATTTACGCGGCCAAAGTCGCGAGATACAGGTGGTCTATTGTCAACCGCAACATCGAGCAAATCAACACCAAATGCATTTTAGAACTCAGTGTTTTCTTTCAATCGGATCTCAATTTCCTGCGCGTCAAACATCAGTATGCTTAAGTCAATCCCAATAAAATTACTTAACGGTCCGAAGGGCGGATTAGGTACAGAGATCGGATTCGGTGAATAACAAATAAACCAAACGATAAAAAGGAAATGAGGGCTCGAGGCTTTATCTAAAGATTCCGAGAGGATCATCGATGTAAGCGTTAAAATTGGATAAATATACCATGACACTGCAGCTTCTAAAAATATTTCGATGACGTGGATAGTGTAGCGGCTTCAGGCATTGCCTCACCTTCAAACGGTCGCTAGTTAGAGCTGTGCATAATCAAACATTCTTATTCATGAAGTACGTCTGTTTGTATTGATCTGGTCGTTTTATACGTATTATAATTATTTATATCCACTTTCCCGGCGTATTTATCTTCGGTGTTGCTCGATTGGTTTCGAATTTGATAGGAGACCTTATTCATGAGCTCGAGTTGTATGTGTGAGAGTATTAATAAAATGTTGTATGTATTTGCAAACAAAAATATTCATGCCTATGTGTAATGATTAGCACATACAAAAATGTTTTCAGGCCGTGAATTTATACAATATTATTGTTATCAATATTATAAAAGTAAGTTTGTTTCTTATCTCTTGGCGCCTTGACGGCTCAAAGAGTCGTTGTAAAAGTTTTGCAAATACTTAGTGTTTTGAAGAGAAAAGGACAAAAGTTTGTACGAGTAACAAAATTTTTATGTTGAATTGAGAAAAATGTAGGGTAAAGTAATCTTCACAATACTTAATTATATACTTAATACAGAAGGTAAAGGAATTGATAATTGTGTAGTTCAGGACTGTTGATTTTACCAGTTTATTGCGAAGGCCAATAATCAGTTCAGATTATTTATTTACAAAATTTTATTCTTGTACCTTCTAACATTATTTACTCTGAAATTTTTATTTCGAAATTTAAATGAGGAAGGTTTTTACTAAACCTTAACGCAGTATCAAAGAAAAACACTGATCTGTGTTGTTTATCTGCCATGGCCAAATCTTTTATCTTATTTATTATTTTTTCTTTTATATATTATATTATTATCTTTTATATTATTAAATATTAATATTCAGATTTCGAATTTTATCGTTTTTGGAAGCTAATACGATTTTACGGACACTATCTGTATTACAAACTAATTACTGACTTATGATTCATTATTTTAAAGTTTAAAATTCAGAACATCCGAATGTAGAACACCAATTATTAATAATAATATCAAATAAAATCTATTTATCCCATTCCCTATCGTTATAGGAAATATATAATGAAACAATTCTGTAACTGAACAGTTTCGGATAAATTATTATTTGCTATATCATTTTCTATGGGAACACTGCTCGGAGCACGCATTTCGTGTCGTTATTAAAATTTATTAACGTTATTCAAAGGCCCAAAAACGTTATCCCGAGGACAATATCGGATGTCCCTTGGTTCGTTACTAATGACGAAAACCATAAAGGATTGGGAATGCTCACGATAAATAGGGGGATACACTCCGCAAAAACGTTATATAAAAACGCCTTTGTTATTGTCCAAACCGCGAGTCGGTGAAACTATTAGAGCGGAATTATCCAAATGAAATAATGTTAAGCTGAATTTACATTTAGTAACTACATCCTTTTTTAGATAGATAGATAGATACTCTTTATTGTTTCCTCCAAAAGATTACAATAGTAAACTTATTACAGATATAAACAATTACAAGAAATAATCACAATGAGAAAACAATGGGCGACGTTATCGCTAAAAGCGATCTCTTCCAGGCAACCTTTGGATGGAGAGGAGTGATTATAAACAGTTTGATTTTAATGTAACTTATAATTGCGAACACGCTGATGGTTCCCATAAGAATGAAAATATCCAAATTGCCTAAAAGGAAATAACATTATGTTGAATTTAACCCTTCTTTGCATGATTTTTTTTATTGGTGAAATAAATCAAGGTGATATAATTCATGTTCAAAATTAAAGGAAAAATGGTTAAAAAATAAATTTGACAGCTATGGATTTTTTCTGCAAAGAAGGGTTAATTAAGAAACTAGATTTGTGCAACTTAGAATGACAAACATGATGGCTCACATGATATATATATATATATATATATATATATATATATATATATATATATATATATATATATATATATATATATATCACATCACACGCTACAATGTGATATTATAGCTTTGTGATTTATACAG